TTGCCTTCACTGACAACACCTACTATATGTGCAGAAGGGTTCATCTTTGTTGTCTGTACTTCCCACGTACCTCTCTTTGTCTTTCTCTTCCTCAATGCCACTATATTGATCACTCACATTTGGTACATTGTCCTTCTCTTCACCCAAATCCAAACTTATTTCTATCTGTCTAATGGTGTTCCCTACCCTCTCCTCCCACCTCTGGTAACCAACAAAGAAAATGTCCTTCCATAGATAAACCTTTCCTTGACTTTTACAGTAACAGACTAATTCAATATTTGTCCTTCTGTGATTGACTTATTTCATTCAGCATAATGTCCTCCAAGTTCATCCACATTATGTGATGTTTTGCAGATTCTACATTATTCTTTAGGGTTGCATAGTATTCCATTGTGGGTATGCACCATAGTTTGGATATCCATTCCTCAGTTGATGGACACTTAGGTTGTTTCCGTCTTTTGGCTATTGTCAATAGTGCTGCAATGAACGTGGGTGTGCATATGCCTGTTCTAGTCATGGCTCTCACTTCTTTAGGGTATATACCTAGTAATGGGATGGCTGGGTCAAATGGTATTTCTAGTTCCAACTTTTGAAGGAATCGCCATACCACTTCCCACAATGGTTGTACCATTTTACAGTCCCACCAGCAGTGTATGAGAGTCCCAATCTCTCCACATCCTCGCCAGCATTTATTATTTTCTGTCTCGTTGAACTTTGCTACCAGTGCTGGAGCAAGATAGTATCTCGTTGTTTTGATTTGCATCTCTCTAATAGCTAATGATCATGAGCATTTCTTCATATGTTTGTTGGCCGCTTGAATATTATCCTTGGTGAAATGTCTGTTCATGTCTTCTGCCCATTTTTTAATTGGATTGCTTGTGTTTTTGTTATTGAAATGTTGGAGTTTTCTATAAATTCTAGAGATAAGTCCCTTGTCAGATATGTCATTACCAAGTATTTTATCCCAATTTGTAGGTTCTCTTTTGACTCTTTTGGAGATGTCTTTGGAAGCACATAAAAATTTAATATTTAGAAGGTCCCAATCATCTGGTTTCTCTTCTGCTTTTTGTGTATTTTGAGTTATGCTTGATAGTCTATTTATGCCATATATTAGGACCCCTAAATTTGCCCCTAGTTTTTCCTTGAGGCACTCTATAGTTTTGGGTTTCACATTTAAGTCTTTGATCCATCTGGAGTTCGTTTTTGTGTATGGTGTGAGGTACAAATCTTGTTTCATTTTTCTGCAAATGAATCTCCAGTTTTGCCAGCACCATTTATTAAACAAACATTCTC